TACATCAATTCATAATTAAATTAAGAATTACCAGAATTAAGTGTGGAAAATGTAATATGACAATTCAAAACTAAAATATTAATACTATTTATCTTTAGGTATTGAGTTTGTATAACTTTTAAACTTTCTATTTTTTTGCTTACTTCCATTTCTTTCTCTTTTATTTTTCCTCCAATAGACTTACAATGCTAATATTAAGGAAAAAATAAGATTGTTAATTTTACAAAGTATACATTAGTAAACCATTTTTCAGATTGTAAACAGCTTAAATGACTAAGACACATTATTTTACCCTCTATCTTTAAGCATCTAAATGATGTAAAGTGCACAGCATTTGCAAAGAGTTTTAATAAACTAAATTCCACAGAATATTTCCACAAACCTAAACTGGGTTCTGAATTTTGAAAGCTGGCAGAATTGAAATCACTTCCGTCCAGTGCAGAACATAAGTTGACTTGCCTTTATTACCACACTGTCTCAGGTTACTTCAACATCCACTTTAAAGATGTGTAAGACAGATAAAATATAATAAAATAAAATATAACCCCCAGCCCTTAACCTTTGACTACTATCTACTCAGAACTTTTATCTTAGTGACTCTTTTATCTTTTGTCTCCCCTTTACCACTTCTCAATTAAATATCTTGGAACATCTATCTCCACTGTCTCAGTTACACTTATAACTCAACCCAGTGTAATTTATCTTCCTTTTCCATCATTCCACTGAAATTTCCTCACCAAGTTCACTATCAACCTCCCTATTCCTAAACCCAATGAAGGTTTTTTGTTTTTTTATCTGTTTGTCTTTCCCGCTTTGGCAGCTGTGTAGCATTAGACTCTGTTAAATATACCTTTGGTTTCCAGAGCAAAGCAGTCTCTGAGTTTATTTACTATTTGCTTTTTCTTTGATTCTTTAACTTAGAAGTTCTGTTTCTATAGTCTATGCTTTAGATGATCTGTTTTTCAGGTTCTCTCCAAAGCTATTCTGCTCATACCTTTTTATACTTTCTTAGTTTTATCCAATCCAATGTCCTCAATAAGCATCTATATCCTGATTATGTCTGTCAGTCTCTCTCTCTCTCTCTATTAAACCAAACCAAAACTGTTTCCCTCATATCGATTCTGACCCATGACAATCCCATATGTTACAGAGTAAAACTGCTGCATAAGGTTTTCTTGGTTCTAATCTTCATAGAAGCTTATCACCTGGCCTTTCTTCCATGGTGCTATTGGGTGGACTTGAACCTCCAAAGCTTAAGTTAGTAACTGATTGCAAACTGCTTGGGCCACCAAACCAAACCTGTTGCCATTGAGTTGATTCTGACTCATAGTGACCCTATAGTACAGAGTAGGACTGCCCAATACGGTTACCAAGGAGTGGCTGGTGGATTTGAACTGCCGACTTTTTGGTTAGTAGCTGATCTCTTAACCACTGTGCCACCAGGAGTTAGTAGTAAATATCTACCATAGTTAAGGTTCTCATTGATACATTTATCTTTCCATATGGTCTATTTTGAATTTGGTTTGACAAGCACCTTGGGACCACAATAAATCCTGAGGTTTTATAACAGCATTAAAAGAAAAACTTATGTGTTTCTATTTTAAGCAAAAAAAAGAGAGAGGGAGAGAGATAAATTATAAATAAACCTCTTCCCCTGCCACCATCTTTTAGTGAAGATGGTCTACTTTATTATTGCACTATATGGTAGCCTTATAATTATCCTCAATTAGGGTTCAAATCACAAATTCATAGTTGGAATTTAAATAAAATATTTTGTGATAAAAAAATTGAATATATTTAAATACCATATGCAAGTGAAAAAGCCAGTTGTCATTGAGTAGATTCTGAATCATAGTGACCCTGTGTGTGTCAGAGTAGATCTCCATAGGGTCTTCAGTGGCTGATTTTTGAGCAGTAGATCATTTGGCCTTTCTTCTGAGGAACCTCTGGGTGGACTCAAATCTACAACTTTATGATTATCAACTGAGCACATTAACCATTCGCATCACCCAGGGACTCCCATCATACCTATATTTGAGTAGAAAAGATAATGGCAGTAAAAACACTGAAATATTAGCAATGGTTGCCTCAAGTGGTTTAAATTCTATAATTTTTAATTTGTTTTAACCAAGATGATTCCTTATTTTCTAAAAGTAGAAAGAAAAAAAACTTTTAGGAAGATTATTCTGAAAGTAAAAGAAAGACACCCTTCCCTGCACAAGAATGGCAGGTAAAAGCTAAGGTTCACTTTTTGCCCATCTGATAACATAATTCAGGGCTGACAAGACATCAGTGGTCATCTTCCCTCAACACTGGCAGAGGCCATGAGAGTTGCCATTTTTATTCTTCAACTGCAACACCATCCAGTGGAAATAAATGGCTGTTGTTAATATCACTTAGTCACTGAATTCATTCTCAAAGGAATTGCAGACCTACCAGAGCTCCAGGCCCCATGTTTTGTGATATTGTTTGTCATCTATCTGGTCACAGTTCTGGGGAACATTGGACTGATTATCTTAATCAGGATTTACACTCGACTCCACAAACCTATGTACTATTTCCTCAGCCACCTGGCCTTTGCAGCCCTTTGTTACTCCTCTGCCATTACCCCAAAGATGATGATGAACTTCACTGTGGAACGCGACACTATTCGTTTCCATGCTTGTGTAACACAACTGGGCTGCTTTCTTACCTTCATGATCAGTGAGTGCCCCTGTCATGGATTCAACTGTGTCCCCTAAAATATATCTGTTAATTTCGTTGAGCCATGATTCTCAGTATTGTGTCATTGGCTACCACTTTGTCATCTCATATGACTTTTCTATGTGTTATAAATCTTATCAATATGATGTTAAGGACATGGATTAACGGCAGTTGTGTCGATGAGATCTACAAGATTAAATTGTGTCTTAAGCCAAACTCTTTTGAGAGATAAAAACCAGAAGTGAGCAGAGAGACATGGGGACCTCACACCAACAAGAAAGCAGCACCAGGAGCAGTGTGCATCCTTTGGACCTGGGGTCCCTGTGCAGGAGAAACTCCTAGACCAAGGGAAGATTGATGGCAAAAGGTTCCTCCAAAGCGGACAGAGAGAGAAAGACTTCTCCTGGAGCTGATGTCCTGACTTTGGACTTTTAGCCTATTAAACTGTGAAAGAATAAACTTCTGTTTGTTCAAGCCATCCACTTGTGGTATTTCTGTAATAGCAACACTAGATAACTCAGACAACCTCTATGGCCTATCATTGCTAAGTAGTCATCTGCAGTCACCTGCATTATACAATACTGATGTCAAACAGTTTGCATTTAATTAGTTCCAATTTTTAAAAATATCCCATCATTGTACAACTGTCCTTGGAATTATAAAAAAGTAATTGATAATTGAGGTTTATGGTTTGACAAAACTAGATTCAAACTTTTGTTCTTCCAGATATTAGCTATGTGTACATTAGTCATTTATGTAAGTTACTTTGACTATTCTTTTGATAGAATGGAGAATTATATCTATCTCAGCTGGGTATTATGAAAATTAACTGAGACAGCCTATTTAAAGCACTGCACTAACCACCTCATACAACAAAAACACTAATTGGTGTGAGCTCTAATTTTATTTTTAATCTTCGTAACTGAGTAAATTAATAATTCATTAATCTAATCTTTACTAAATATAACAAGAGTGAATTTTTTTTTTTTTTTTTTAGAAAACAATGCATATTATCAGTATCATTGAGTAGAAGGAATGAGGGAATTGCTCACTCAATAAAAAATCGATTCAAAATATGTTCATCAACACACATAAAAATAAATTTAAAAGCATTGCATTGCTTTAAAAGAGCACAAGAAAATAACTTTTTAGCTGTTATAGCTTCATTTTGTTGGTTTTAAAATGAAGTATATCATGTTGGCAACTATTTCCAAAAAGGCTACTCCAATTTCTAAGATTGAATCAAAGGAATCATTAATGCAGTTATAATATGAATAATTAAATGTAATACCCAACGTTTATGAATTGCTTGCTATGTGCCAGAAACTGTGCAGTGCTCTACATATTTATAACTTGATCTAATTCTCACAATCAGAGCCCTGGTGGTGCAGTGGTTAATAGCTCGGCTGCTAACCAAAAGGTCCGAAGTTCAAATCTACCTTCTTGGAAAATCTATGATGTAGTTCTACTCACAGTCAGCCTAAGAGAAAGGAACTATTACTACTTTTTGCAGATGAGGCAGTTGAGATACAGAAAAGTGAACTAACTCTCTCATCACATTATTTGGAAAAGCTAAAATTGTTAGCCAAACTGTTTGAATGAAGAATCCAAGTTCCTAACCACACACTTACATAGAATAGGCCTAATCACACATTCATACATAACAGGCAGTGAATTATAATGGTATGAAGTGACCCTAATGATCTAAACTGATACAGAATTGGTGTTAGTAAATGTTTAATGTCTTGGTAACTCTGTTAGTGCTATCCTTCCCAGCTGGATGCAGAGATAGTAGCATGTTAGGAAAATTATCCAGAGTGTTCCAAACCAAAATTCCTGCTATTAAACTTCGGCATGTTTTCCAGATTATCTATGCAGGAGACTTTCAATATAAGATACCAGACCTTGATCTATTTCACTATAACCAAAATTTATCAATATCACATGGATTTCAGATAAAATAAGTATTTCCCAATACTCTATTGATGAAAGATATCATGGCCAAAACGGATTTCTCTCTCTCTTTCTCTATCTCTCTCCTTCTTTTTGCTTCCCTCCCTCCCTCTTTCTTTCTCTCTTCTTTCAATAACTCAAATAAAATTTACAAAATGCATTTCATGGGGAAAACATTGAGTATAAACAGTTGATAAGACTCACCTTGACTCCACAGTGCTCTACCTCAGAAAAGTGAGCTTGAGCTCTTGAAGTAAGAGATTTGGCTTTGTCATTTACTAGCACTGTGACACTAGACAAGACATAACTCAAAGTTTACTGATCTCTGTCATGTGAGTCTTCGTTTATCTGATAGCCAACCACAACTTTTCTATAATTCTCTTCAGTACGTTTTTTACCTCTTAATTTCTCAAGCTATAGATAATGGGTTTAGCATGGGAATCACCACCACATAAAACACTGAAGCAAATTTATCGGTGTTCAGAGAATGGCTTGACTTGGGCTACAAGTACATAAAAATAATGGTCCCATAAAATATTGTGATGGAGGTCAGGTGGGACACACAGGTGGAAAAGGCTTTCTGTCTTCCTTCCGCAGAGCAGATCCTAAGGATGGCAAAGAAAATGAAGCCATAAGAAATTAACACAATCAGTAGAGAGCAAAGGGTATTGAACCCAGCAATGATTAACAACATCAGTTCTTTGATTTGGGTATCAGAGCAGGCCAAAGCAACCAAAGGAACATCATCACAGTAGAACTGATAGACCATAATGGAGTCACAAAAAGACAAGCAGAATGTCACCACTGTCTGTACAAGACCCACAGTAAAACCATAAACATATGTGATAACAATCAGTTGAATACAGAGTTTCCTAGGCATGAGGATGACGTAGAGTAAAGGGTTGCAGATAGCAACATACCGATCATACGCCATGATGGAAAGCAAATAGAATTCACAAACTACAAATGTGATAAAGCAACACACCTGAGTGGTACACGCATAAAAGGTTATACTTTTAACTTCACACAAAAAGTTCACTGAAGTGTTTGGGGTGACAGAAGAAGTAAAAGAAAAATCAACAAAAGCCAGCTGGTTGAGAAAAAAATACATGGGTGTGTGAAGCTGAGGACTGATTTGGATTAGCACCATCAAGCCAAGATTACCCCTGATGCTAATTAAGTAGATCACTATGAAGACAATAAAGAGAACGACTTGAAGCTCTGAGTTATCTGTGAGTCCCAAGTGGATGAATTCAGTCACCTCTGAATGATTGCCTTTGGCCATGTTGGTTCTCTAACCAGATGCAAAAACATCATAGAGAGCACAGCATCAGGGGTGAAAAATACAAATATTTCTTTAAATAAACCTGGGGACAAAACGTAGATAGTCAGTTTTGAGGTTTTGACTGAGGGACTGGATTTTCAAGAGATGAACTGAGTCTCTGAGACCAATTTCTAGAGTCAAAGAAAAGCATTGATAACAGACATCTTACTTTGATTTTAAGGTTTTCTTACCCATGAAACCAATATTCACTGTGATGAAATTCCTGACAAAAATTAATCCCCCAGCAGCTTTTCTTTCAAACAAAGTTGGTAATCTTTTCTTTTTGTCCCAAGCCAGGTTTACTAAATTTCAATTTCAAAAGGTATGGCTGGGTGGTGGGCCAGAGACCTGTTAAGCCTATCTCAGTAAAAGGAAAACAAAGAACAAAGAAGAATCATGTTCAGATTAGCCAATTGTTGATATTTTATATTTTCCCTCCTCTTCTCTTTATAAGCCTCATCCTACCTAGCTTACTTTGAGCCATTTACTTTTTTCTGGAATCAAACTGGTCTTCCCGTATGCATACAGAGTAACTGCTCAGATAAAACCCATTGTTGTTCTTAGGTGCTATCAAGTCGGTTCCGACTCATACCTACCCTGTGTACAACAGAAGGAAACACTGCCCAATCCTGGTCTTGTGCCATCCTCGTAATCGTTATTACTCTTGGGCGCGTTGTTGTTAGTACTGCCAAATCGATTTCAATTCATAGCAGCCCTGTGGGAATAAGTAGAACAGCCCCATAGGGTTTCCTAGGTGGTAATCTTTATAGAAGCAGATCCCCTGGAGCTTCTGGGTGGGTTTAAACTGCCAACAACTGGGTTAGCAGCCAAGCAATATCACCTTCTAAAATGGTTAAATAGTAGGATAATATTAAATCACTACTTTTTAATCACTTTTTCTGGAATGTCAAAATAATAAAAGCATATCAAATAACTAATTTTTAAATACATGTAATGATCCTACAAGGATAATTGAATAAGAGCAGATTATTTCTAAATTTAAAAAAATATGCAAATACACTGAACTTACACATTTAAAAATAGAGTTTCTTTTGGACCATATTCTTCCAATTATTTTATTTAGAGTCTTATTTCTGAGCCCCAAGTGCTAACAAAAACACGCTGCTGCTTTTGCTTGGGATACATTTGTGTGTATTCGTGTGCATGTCTGTTTGTATTTGAACACAATTTTAGTAGTCTGTAAATCCCTTGGTTGCCTGAACAGGAATCTAAACCATACTGACTTTCCAAGTGTGGCCCCAATACTCCAGCAAATGACAATGTCTGTGGAAATAACAGTCACATTTAACGTCAGGAAAGAATTATAAGAAATATAAGCAAGAGACTTCTTTCCCTACTTTCAGTTAACAAAGTATTTTTATTATTATTTTCTTAATTGCAACATCTTTAAATCTTCACAACCTTTATTGAAGGCTTTCTTCGAGGCTTCTTTTACCTCCTTGTTCCTTGGACTATAGATGAGAGGGTTCAACATGGAGATCACTACGGTCTAAAAGACGGAAGCCATTCTGTCTGTGTCCAGGGAGTGGTTTGATTTAGGCTGTAGGTCCATAAAGATTAGTGTGCCATAGAAAATTGTGACAGCCACCATATAGGAGCCACAGGTGGAGATGGCCTTGCGTCGCCCCTGGGTGGAGCGAATCCTTAAGATGGCGGAAATGATAAAGATGTAAGAGATGAGTACAATCAAAGAGGAACAGATCATATCAAAGCTAAGAGGGGAAGGTCATCGCAGTAGAAACGGTTAATTACATTGGGGCCACAGTAAGTTAGATGGAAGGTGACAATGGTATGGAAGAGGGCGACTAGAAAGCTATATATATATGGAACAGTCGCTAATTGAATGCAGACTCTTTTTGACATCAGTAGTGAATAATGCAGAGGACTACAGATGGCTACGTAGCGATCATACGCCATAGAGGCTAAAAGGAAACACTCGGTGATCATGAAGGTAAGAAAGCAGCCCAGGTGTGTTGCACAAGCATGGAAAGGAATAGTGTCATGTTCCACAACAAAGTTCACCATCATCTTCCGGGTAATGGCAGAGGAGTAACAAAGGTCTACAAAGGCCAGGTGACTGAGGAAATAGTACAGAGGTGTGTGGAGTCGAGTGTCAATCCTAATTAAGATAATCAATCCAATGGTCCCCAGAACTGTGACCAGAGAGATGACTAAAAATATCACAAAACATGGGGCCTGGAGTTCTGGCCGGTCTGTAATTCCTTTGAGAATGAATTCAGTGACATAAGTGATATTACCAGCAGCCATTTATTCCAGTGGATGTTGCTGCAGTTGAAGAATAAAAATGTTAACTCTCATGGCCCCTGCCAGTGTTGAAGGAAAACCACCACTGATGTCTTGTCAACCTTGAATTACGTCATCAGATGGATAAAAAGTGCACCTTAGCTTTTACCTGCCATTCTTTCCCCAGGAAAGAGGGTCTTTTACTTTCAGAATGATCTTCTTAAAAGTTATTTTTCTTTCTAATTTTAGAAAATAAGAAATGATCTTGGTTAAAACAAATTAAATATTATCTAAAATAAACCACTTTACACAACCACTGGTAACAGTTCAGTGTTTTTGCTACCACTATCTTTTCTTTGCATATATACGTATGATGGGAGTCCCTAGGTGATGCAAATGGTTAACATACCCAACAGATAAGCAAAAGGTTGGAGGCTGGAATCCACCCAGAGATGCCTTGAAAAAAAGGCCAGATTTCCACTCTCAAAAAATCAGCCATTAAACGCCCTATGGAGTTCTACTCCGATACACATGGGGTCACCATGATTCAGAATCTACTCGAAGGCAACTGGATTTTTAATGCATATGTTACTTAAATGTACTCAATTTTGGTATCACAAAGTCTTTTATTTCAATTTCAACTCTGAAGTTATGATCTGAACCCTAATTGAGGATAACTGTAATGCTACCATATAATGTAATAATAAAGTAGATCACCTTCTTCTTCTTCACTGAAAGATGGTGGTAGGAGAAGAGATTTATTTATAATTCATCATATATGTATAGATAGCTTACAATGGCAACACATAAGTTTTTTCTTTTACTACTCTTATAAAACCTCAGGATTTATAGTAGTTCCAATGTGCTTATTAAACCAAAATCAGAAGAAACTATATGAGGAGTTAAATGTATCAATGAGAACATTAACTATGGTAGATATTTACCACTAAGTAAACTGAATATTTAAGTACCCCATTATTGGTAAAGGAAAAGAGGTGCAGTGAAGTTGCGTATGAAGCTAGCATTTGAATCTCAACATCAATAAAGTGAAAAATGACATAGAAATAAAATTACCTATAAGATTCTGCCAAATTTTGTCCATAAATTTTGAAAACCCTATGGAGCAGTTCTACTCCTCATATACCATTTTGCATTTATAGGTTCCCCGTGAGTGAGAATCAAGTCAACAGCAATGAACAACAACATATTTCTAGATTATTTTATCAATTTCTGTAATTCTTTAAAAGTAATTTTTTCTATGACCTTCAGTTAGTTTCTCTGCCATCCAAGTTCAACATCTATTTAATCGTTTCCACAACTCTCAATTTTGAGGAGAAAAACCTAAAATCATTGATACATTTTATCCTCAGGGTACCTCAGTAGCCCTTGTTTTCCTTGCTGGATTGTAAGTTGCCTAAAATAGTGATTCTCAAACTTGGCTGTTCATTGTAATCATCTAGGGAGTTTTTAACATCTCAATGCCTAGGCACCTCATACCACTTCAGTCAGAAACTCTGAGGGAGAGAGATCCAGGCATCAGTATTTTTAAAGCTCTCCAGATGATTACAGTGGACCACGTTTGAGAACAGTAACCTAACTAATGAATTCATTTATGGGAATGGCAGTCTGAGCTCAGCTGTATCCTCAACATCATTTCTTTCTTTCTTGGTTTTATTTGACTTACCTATGGCTAAATTAGTTTGAGTACATGAATTCAGCTTGCCAATGGAATTCAAATTGGAGTGTGCTTATTCCTGCTCACATGAAAAGACTCACCAAGGGTTATGTGGTCAAAGATAATTTTAATGAAATTGATTTATCAGTCCTCCATGTGCATACCTGCTCCTTTCTGAAACCGATTTGACTAAGGCACCTGTGTTCTTGGCTCTTTTTGGCCAGCCAGTTCACAGTCTGCCCTCTTTCTACTTTACAGATGAAAAGCATACATCTCGCCAGTTGGGAATCTTACTATGATCCCTTACCCCAGAGGTAAAAATATTTGAGGGGCTAAACAATTTGGGTAATTCTATGATTTCTTTCATCAAGACATCATAAATACAACTCTCAACTCATTAAAAGTCAAATTTAAAGATTAAACTTATGTGTATTTATTATTTATCAAAAGTGGAAATATATATATGCGTATATATATATATATATAGATAGATAGATAGATATGTATAGCTAGTAGCATAGTGGTTAAGTGCTGTGGCAGCTAACCAAAAGGTAGGCAGTTTGAATCCACCAGGGGCTCCTTCGAAACCATATGGGGCAGTTCTATTCTGTCCTTTAGGGTCGCTGTGAGTCAGAATTGACTCGGCGGCAATGGGTTTGGTTTGATTTGGTTATATATATATGTTTTTAAATGATTTCTCTACTAAGAGTAACTGTAATCCTATATACTTGATTTATCGATAGTGGGGTAAAATAACCAATGAAATACACTAAGTAATAAAAGTATATTCCATTAGGATAGTTTTTTTTGGGGAAATGGAATGGAAATATGAATACAAGGGAAAAATAATATTTTATATTATCTAACTCTTAAAAAAGGAGTCCCTGGGTGGTACAAACAGTTAAGTACTCAACTATTAGCAAAAAGTTGGACAGTTCAAATCCACCTGGAGATGTCTTGGAAGACAGGCCTTTCAGAAGGTCACAGTCTTGAAAACCCTGTGGAGCGGTCGTACTCTGCATATTTGGGGTCGCTGGGCGTTGGAACGGACTTGAAGGCAACTAACAACTCTTAAAAAAGGAGATCATGTATTTTTTAATGATAACAGTGTCAATTACTATATCTATATTGTTATCGATGCATTTAATATTTAACATAAATAATTTTGAAATGCCAACATTTATAAATACAAAAATTATATCTTTTACACCTGTTGAAACTACTAAAGAATATTTTTAAGATGTTTGCTTACATATGTAGGAAAAAAGAGAGTTTTTTCAAATTGTTTTAGTGGACACCAAGAATTATTATCTATTAGTATTTTTATTCCTTGCTGGTAGTCGGTTAATTGTTTAAGAACAAGCAGTTTATTTAGTCTTCTCCTAGTCTCTGCAGATTCTAGTTTGTCCATCTAGATTTTCAATATATTGCTGCCAAGTAAATTAAATTTTCCTTTATGATAATTATAAGAGGTTTTTGGGGACATCTCTCTGATGTTTCTGTAGACACTTTGGCACCTAATACAATGGCAAAGCTTTGCACAGAAAGTACTCGATAATATGGGAGAAGAACATGATCCCTGGGCAGCCTCCTCTCTCCTATCCGCTGCTCTGTTCATAAAGATATGGCCTGATTCCCTTACTGCCTAGTGTAGTCCAGGCCCTGGCCTTTGCTTTCCAATGGTCTGCAGAGCTTTCCCGAGACAGATCAGTCTTCCATTTCAGGGCTGCGCCTTGTTTTCTTCACCAGATCTTACCAGCCAGGCTGCAGAGGCACCCTGTTTAACACAAGTATGTTCCAGGTGTTCAAAGATAATGAATTAATGAGCCATCAGATATTTCCTCATATATCCCAACATGCATACACACATTAGGCTATGACATGGAGTTAAGCGCATGGTTTGAGACCGATTGCCTTGGAGCCCTGCTTGAGGCCAAACATCTCTGAGAAGCAGTAACAAGGAAGTGAAATGCTAATGGATTTCTAATTTATTTCAGGATTCAGAAGTTACAGTGAGCATCCATTCTTTATTTTAGAGAGAACAATTTACCTTCATGTTCAGCATTTTCCAACAGGCCATGGATTGATTTTTAAAAACACTGTTAACAGCACTTGGCTGGAGAGCCATTCATCATGACCTGCCCTCACAGGAGAATTTTAGACAGGAAACCTCACCTGCCTCCAAATCTGCCCTCCATGGGTCATGTAGTATTAACTGTTTGTGTGTGTGTGTGTGTTGGAGAGAGAGAGAGAGAGTACCACTAAAGAAGAGACTGAAAAGTCTAAGCAGTTATTTGTCTAACTCAACTTGGAGCAGAAAAATAGAGCAGAAAATTCTGGAAAGCAGAAGATACGAAGTTAAAAAATGCAGTTAAAATGCTAGAGGCATTATCACTGAATGCAGCCTGTTCCATTTAATACCAGAGTTCACCAAGGAGAGAGGTTTGTAATGGGGAGATGAACCTTGGGGGTAGGGTTGGCAACTGGCTCTCTATCAGACTCCGTCTGACTGACCTGTTTATCATGGATCCTGGCTCCCAGTAAGCTCATTCTGAATTTGTTTGGGAAATTTATTGGTTCCTGGGTCCCTCTGGGTCAGAACTTGAAAATCTAGAGCTATCTCAATGCTGTAATATTTCCTTCCATGTTTCTCTCAAAGTGAGATGAGCTGGATAAATTATTTTGGGGATTTGAAAAAATTACTTCTAACTACATGTATTCCTGAGGGAATCATACTTTAAATATACTGATCAGAAATTTCCATCAAGACAGAGTTAGGTTATACTACTGGAAACAACATAAAAAGGTCATAAATAAAACTTAGTTCGTTAATTAAGGGCACAATGAAGCTTTGTGAAAAATAAGACTAGCACTTAAATCCTGAATAACTTATTTATGACACCTTGTATAAGGTCTGTATTCTTTTTAAGCCTCGATTTCTTCATTTGTAAATTACCAGTAATAACTTGACCTTGTTTATAGTGTTTCTGTGATAGTAACTAAGTTAATGTATATAAAGGGCTCAGTAAACTCTGGAAAGTAGTAAGTGCTCACAAAAGATATTTAAAACAGTAAGACAGAATCAGATCCATAAGTAACATTGAGATACCTCAACAATGTACATGAAAACATAGAACTGCTTCTACCACGGTATCAGTCTCTATCTTGGTAATGCCAATCTTTCTGGTTGACACTGTGTCATCTTCAATGGAAGATAATCTTTCTATGTTCCTGAGAACTCACTTCTCCATATAAATCTATGTATGACTTGTCATTCCAAGGTCTAGATCTAGTTTCCACAGGTTCTTACTGCTCATTGCATCTTTGCCATTGAGTGTATTACCTTTTT